CATCTCTGTTAGGTGTCAGGAGCTATTGAAGCTTTGTAAGATTGTTTTGCATGTTAGGATACATGCAAATCCCTCAAATCTGCTGTGAGAAGTTGTGCCAAGAGTCATGGTAGTGTGTAAATGTCACTTGATTCTGTACTGTTTTGCGATGAAACTGCCTCTTTTGCAAAAATACTTTCAAGGAAAGCCTGTTTAAGTGAAGTCTGAGAACTGACTCTCACAGCTTCAAATAGCCTGCAGCATTTTCAGATACAAATTCAAGTACTAACCAACCATCAACGCAAACTAGCTGTTCATCTCATTTTACAAATCGCCGGCAAAGTCCGCTTTGGTGCCCTTTGCAATCAGCAGGAAAACTTTGCTATGAAATCACACTGAATACTGGGGTATCAGCCCCTTCCTCTCCTTCCTATAAACCTTTTCCATCTGATTAAGACTGATGCTTCTTTTTGTTGTTTCAGTGTGCAGGATTATTTCAGATAAGTGGTAGCAAGGTTCTCCTGTAGGTTGCTTTCCTTTTAGGCTGCACAGTTTTCTTTATGTCTTCGTTTCTCCTCCTCAGTGCTTCACTTCTGTATCACAAATACATGCATGCATGCATGTCTCTCCCTTTTTTCCTATAGCATTGCAACATCACCTTCCTACATTCAGATCCCACCCAGTGAACAGCCTTGACCTTGCTGTGCCCTTCATCTTTAGAGACTTTTCTCTCAGAGGGTTTTGTTAAATTTTGGCAGCCACCTCATAAGAGACAGAAACGAAAACCTGGGACTGAGCAGATAAATAACTACACATCAATTAACACACAAGTGACCCTGCAGATCCCACAGGCTGGATGCTCAAAACCAACTGATCCCATGACTCAACAGCATGCACAGCACTTCTGCTACCACATTCTCCAATTATTGGCCCCAGGTGACTCTGAGCTTCAGATAGACTCCAGTGGGCAATTTTCCCTGCTATTGTTGAAGCTTCTTAGATACCACATTTAGGATCTCATATTCACAAAAAATAACAGAAGTGGGGTCCAGAGATTTCAATGCCTCCGTAAGTACCAAAATAAACCCTAGCTTCTTTTGATAGCTAACCTTAGCAACTAGGAGACCTAAAAATGATTGGCATACTCATTCTGAAATGTTACGATGTCTGCTCCTCTTGCACAAATGAGATTCCATTCCAGTCAGCTACTGCATATTTGTGCTCAGTCTTTCATTAATTTATTGATCATATGGTGATACACTATCATTTGCTACCTTTGGGGGGAAAAAAATGGGGAAAAAATGTGCTCTTCTGGTGGGGCTATTTCATGCTTTCTGAATATTCAGTCCAATCCTCCTGGTCTCTCTCTGTCCTCTTTTCTCCCCAAAAGCTTCATGGATCTCCAAAGACATCCCACAAGAGAGGGTGACTACCACTCACCAGTAAACCCCTGAGGATGCCATTATGTGGCATGCAATTATACAGCTAAATCAGGGTCAAGCATCTCCCTTTAAGGGTAAAATATGGTATTACACTCTAAATTCCTGTACTGCAAAAACAAACAGTGCCATCAATTCATTTCCAGTCAGACCTCCACCCTCTTGGGAAAAGTACACAGAACTTTCTGGTGGGAAAAATATTTTGGAAATACAACCTCTTTATTAGAGTGAAAGCTCTTCCTTCATTCAGCTTGTCTTTCATTAGCCACCCTGGTACACTCCAGTGAGGAATGTGGCTTGAAGAGGTCCTTTAAGGTCACAGGAGGCAAGTCCCAAAGGGGTGTAGTTCCCTCCCCATAGGTACAGATAACTCCTGACAAGATTATGAGGTCTGATCCAAAGCTGAGTAACCACACAACCATTCATAGGTAATTGTCTCTGAGGAGGGTGGGTGGATTTTCAAGGAAGGATCCCATTACCTTTCCACACAAATGAAGCATCTGTGTTCTCTGTTTCTTTGAGCTCTCTTACTGTAAATAATATCTTCCTGTTTTTCACCCTTCTGTTTGAAACACAGAGGGAGCAGGTGAGGAGGAAAGGAAGGTTTTAAAATTCATGTGTTTCCTTAATTCAGCACTGGTATATTGGATGTGGGGTTGAGTAAAACTGCATTCATATCTATGGTTCCTCTCTGGAAGGCTCCTACAGGAGGAAAAGCTCTCTGAGTTCACCTTACAGCCATGATAATGCTCTTTCTGGGATTCCAGAGCAGCCCAGCCCGTGTCTTTCAAGCAAGGAACTGGCTGATGAGACTCAGCAGAGCATCCCAGGAGAAAGAGCTTCCTATGTAAATCTGGAGCAACACTACTGAAGTTAGCAGAGTGACTCCAGATACACGGTGGTGTCACAGAGGTCCAAAGCAGCTATTTTTTGATGACAATGAAAAAGGGACCTTTTCTTTCCGGGCCTGAATCTCTCCTGAGATGTGCCAGCTCTGTCAGTGCAGTGCAATTGCATCCAGTGAGGTTGTATTACTACAACTGGGAGCAATATTTAATTTACTGGCTTTGGTGGTCATCTGAGGACAGGATTTGATGCTGCTTGTCACCTGGGTTTTGTATCAACAGCAAATGCTGTTTTTACCAGCAGCAATGACTATTGGGCTCTACGAAAGAAGCTGCTCAGTAAAAAGAAATTGTGAATTTGGTTACATCAAAAACATTCTTTGCAGTATGATGCCAATCATAGCAAAAATAACCACAGACTTAAAAATCATTAAAAGTTATCATTTTCATGGGCAAAACCTAAACAACATATTTTGGATTTTAATATTTGCAGCTGCCCAAAACCAAACTCTGGGGGTTTTTTTGAGTTGTTTAGACTACTGTTGAAATCCTTAATAATTCCTAAACTATGCATTTGAGAGGAAATAAAAGAGAACCATGCTATTGAACGCATGTGAGCAGTGCCATTGCCTTCAGCAGGACCATGCACATGGACAGGGGCAGAAGGATTGGGTCTGTTGTCTTCTACTCTGTTCTTTGATCCTGCAAGTTTGCTGTTTGCCAAGGTCACATCAGGCTGCAAAGGCACTTTTTGTAACTCTGTACGATCTGTGTCTGTCCTCTATTTATTCCAAATGCGTTTGCCTCTACAATTTAATCTGCTGTTCTCTCCCTCCCCTTCCTCTTGGTGAAGTCTAATTACAGTTTTATTCCAGGTCCTTCTGGTTGCTAATGGTGCTGGACATCACCGCTGAATTCATCCTAATATTTGTTGTGTATTTTCTAGGCTGGACACTGAATAATAATATTCTCTGAATTTGCTTTTGCTCCTGTTTCCTTCCTCCCTGTTGTAGCTAATTGTGTAGTAATGTGTAGCCCTAGGATGATTGCTCTTCCCAGTGTAGATCTGCTAAGAGTTGCCTGTTTCAGGCTGCAGAATGAAGGAGTTTTATTCTGGTTTTGAGGAGAAGTTTTCCAAGTCCACTCTACCAGCTCCCTTCACTGGTGTGGAACCAGCCAGGCAGTGGCTTTTTTTTTTTCCTTGCCCCAGGTGTAATGCTGTTCATAACTTTGAGTCTCAAAGGGTCCTGGAGACAGTGTTTCAGCACTTAGAAAGACATTTTTTGCCAGTGCCTGCTCCATGTAGATGGTTGAACCCACAGTAATTTGAGGTTCCCAAGCCTGACTTTGTACAGTGACAGTGATGAGATAATTTTTTTTTTCTTTCTTTTTTAATTTTTTTTTTCTTTTCTCCCTTTTGCTTTCTGCAACACTGCCTGGGAACACAGACTCACACTTTACCCATGACCTGACTCTTTGACTAAGAATAGCAGTCACAGTGCAGCTCGGGTTCAGTCTCACTGGAGACATGCTGCAGCTGGGAAACAGGGAGGTCACATCAGCCCATGCTCACAAAACCAAACACAAATCCAAAGGAGTATGGAGGATTTTGTGTGTTTGCCTCCTTTAAAGACTGCAGAACAAGGGGAAGAGACTGGCACAGGTGTTCAGTGAGCGAAGATAAATTTTCTTTGCTCATGACACTGACTTGTACGGGAAGTTTACATACAGAAGTTCAACTTCTGGGCTGAACAGAACCTTTTTCAAAAGAGTCCTGTATCCTTACAGCCTATTCAGCCAAAAATTATGCAGGATGAGGATAGTAAGCAGTGCTGATTAGCATCTCCTGAGCTCTGCTTAGGACAGTGGGATGTTTGAGATAGCCCCTGGAGTGATCTGCTGTGGCTTGTCCTGGGCAGCCAATGTGACAGTGCTGCTGGAGCTCTATCTTTAACATGAGGGACCAACAGGTCTCGCTCTGAGCACATGCTAAAGCCAGCTTTGCTCCCATTCTTAGCCCTTCCTGCTGGGATGTGCCAGGCTACATTCACACCTTCAGTCTGTGGTGTAGATGTGCTTTCAGAGTAACAGAAATACCAGTCCTGCTCTGTATTCTTAAGACAAGAGCTAAAGCATTAGTAATAGAAAATGTTAGGCCAATGATTGTCATAATACTCATTGTGGTGAGATTTAAATAGCACATTCCCAGCTCAGCCGTGCCCTCTCCTCTGCCGTGACGCAGCAGCCAGCTGTTCCCTGCGGGCAGAGCATTGCATCTGGAACGTGCACTGGTGGATTGATACTCACACTGGCATAAGGAGATCCATTTTTTGAGAGAACCGTATGACACCATTCCTGTGCTCTCCCCCAACTGAATCTAAGTCAAGCGGGGAAGGGTGCTGTGTTGCTAGGAACTGAGGTGTCTGGAGGAGCTGGTCCTGCCAGCCCGGCTCCTGGGAGCAGCCCTGCTCAAAATGACCTCTGTGACTTCCCTTCAGCCCCTGTCTCAGAGTCAGAGGGGAGGGGTGACTGCCCTGGCATCACGTTAGCTGGATGGGGGCTGCTCACTCAAATCAGGGAACCCAGGCCTGGGCTACAGCTTGAGACACCACGAGTAGACTTGAGAGGAAAACCCCTCGAGGTCTCAGGGCAGTAATTCTAATGGTAATTTTGAACTGTTTTTGTCTGTCTAACATTCCTTTTTAATCCCCATCCTGCCTGCCCCTTCCTTATGTAGGGTTACTTTAGTGATCCTTGGAATGTTTTTGACTTCCTCATCGTAATTGGCAGCATTATAGACGTCATTCTCAGTGAAACTAATGTGAGTATTACTCTACCCTCCCCAGGATACCACCACCTCCTCCTCCTCTGCCGTTCCTTCTCTCTTTCTCTCTTTTTTTCTCTCTCTTTTTGTTTTCTGTTTTTTTTTCCCTCTAGTCATGCTTTTATTGAACTTGCCGTCGTCCTTCTCCTTCTCCCAGGGAAAAAAAAAGGAGGGGGGGAAATGCCTCCTTCTTTTTCACTTGTCATAGCTCACCCCAAGGCTGTGACTGGTGAAAGCGCACAGAGTTTGGGGTGTGTGTGCTTTTTTTCCCTCCAAAAGGTAGACATGTTTGAGTGTAACTTTCTGACTAACCAGGCTTTTGTTGATACCCTCCATCATGTGAAATGTTACAGAGGTTTGAGCAACCAATACTGTAGAGTGGTAAGAGACTATTTAATATGCCCACGTAACCTCTTTCTTTTCTTATTTTTTTCCTCTTCTCTCCCTCTTTCATGCTTTTGTTTTGTTTCATTTTGTTTTTTATTTTTTTATTTTATTTTATTTTACTTTTTACTTTTTTTCCCCTCTTTTCTCCCTTTCCCTCTTTCTCTCCCTCCTCTCTCTCTCTCTCTCTCTCATTCTTTCTTCTTCCTTCCTTCCTTCCTTTCTTTCTCTCTCTCTCTCTTTCTCTCCTTGGCTTCTCTGCCACATGCAGCACTATTTCTGTGATGCATGGAATACATTTGACGCCTTGATTGTTGTGGGTAGCATTGTTGATATAGCAATCACCGAGGTGAACGTAAGTAGCTGGCGTCTGTCCATGATCGTGCCTGCTCTAACATTCATTTGCCTTTCCCGGGTTCTTTTTATTTTGTTCTGTTTTTTTTTCCCCCTCCCCCTTTCTCCTTTCTTTTGAGTTTATTTTCAGAACTTTTCGTTTAGTTTTGAAGCTCTTTTTTTTTTTTTTTTTAATTATTTATTTTGTTTTCTTTTTATTTGGTTTGGTTCTGTTTTAATTTTTGGAACGACTTAAAGGACTTTTTTGACTGTTGCATCATTTTCTTCCCTTCATAATCCGCCTGGCATGAATTAAACTGTATAGCAGGAAAAGTGATGGGGAATGTGGAGTGTAAGTGCAAAAGCTATTTGTGCCATGGGAAGCTGCTAGAATAGTCCCAGGCCAGCACTTTGGTCTACCCAGTGTTATGCTTTGCTTCCCATGGCAGCTCAGTACTCTCCACCCCACAAAGAGATAAAGGTCATTTCTTTCGAGGTGGAACTGCGGGAACCAAACCAGGAATACTCCCTGTGCCTCCTCACTCGGGCTTCCACCAAAAGAAATAAAGGCCCAATCGCCTCTGTTTAGAGGAACCTGCTCCTGATGTTCAGCTTCTAATTTGATTTAAAAAAAAAAAAAAAAAAAAAGGTAGATAAAATAAAACCAAAGCAGAAATACCAGAGAAAAACAAAGCGCCAGAGTTCCAACCCATTTTTTTGGGAGTTTGCAACCTGATTTGCTCCATCTCTCAAATTCCACCGGCACAATTGACACTGATTGGCCCCGCTGGTGCCCATCTCAGCAGACAGGTGAAGGATTGAGTGAGCCGTGGAGACTGAAATAAGCATCTGGTGTTCAAGACATAGATCACATCGGCCAAATTTTTTCCTCTGTCTATTTTCTTGGAGGTGGATGGATACGGAATTATAGGATAAATAGACAAAGGACAGGCAGGAAACGTAGAGATTCCCAAAAGAAAGACTATGATGGGTTTATGAGCACGGACAAAAATTACACTCAAAAATCGAGCTTATAAATGCCAGGCAGATAGAAATATTGAAAGAAAATTGCTGCAAAAATGCTAGAGGAGAGCAAATTAGTCATGAATTTTCAAAATTATGTGGCTGTTGAATAAATATTCCAGCTCGGAATTGTTGTGTACTGTAGAGGTAATCCATTGCAAGCAGAAAACTGACAGCATAGTTTTCACTCAGTGCTGTGTTTAGAGAAAATATGTAGGCAACACTTTGAAAAAATAAAAATGCACTACTTGGAACTTTCCAAATAAAATATTTTCATATCTTGGTTCTAGTTTAATTTTTTTTCAAATTCTTTTTTTTTTCTTCTTTTGTTTTTCTTTAATTCTGAAGCAGGGACACTTATTCAAGCTATAACACTTTGATTTAAGATAAATGAAATTTTTTTTTTGAAACTAGTTTATTTTCCTTGTTTTTTGAGAGAATGGAAAATAGTTTCTAACTGAAAAGGAACTTTTATTTCATATCTCTTAAATGTCCTGCTTTCTGGACACAAAAAGTTGCTTGCAACATTTCCCACAGAATGTTGTAAACTCTTTTGGTTACCCTTTTACTAGATAGATGTTAGGATTAGGCTGACTTTGTAGAGAAAAGTTACAATGACTGGCTGGTTGAAGTTGTTAATTTTTAAGAAATTAAAGCCTTCAGATTGTGGAAAAGTTCAGTTCTCATCCATAGAGACAGAACTGCACATGGTAATGGAGGAAATAAGTACAGTTAACTGGAGATGAATCCTACTAAACATCAACAAGACTTCCCTGACTGATATATTTGAATCCATACAAAAGTCTTACAAGCAGAAAGAAAGGAAAGCCTTGTGTTTTGATAAATAAATGGAGGTCTACAGAGCAGAAATCCAGGGAAAATCCATTTATCCTTTTGAAATTATTCACAATAATTCCTTATAAATTAAAGGACTTTTTACTTCATGGGCTAGGACACTCTGATATGCCTCTCATTAAACTTCCGTGGTGTGAGAGAAGGACAGTCACCAGGCCTCCTCTTGTGGGTGGAGAGACACAACCCTCCTCAGACCCACTGATACCTTCCCTTACATGTCTGTGACAGGGGAAATTGATTGCTCTTTGGAGGTGCCCATCCAGTGGCTGGTGAGTGTCTAGATTTGTTAGGTTTGTCTAGACACCCAGCTCTCAGACACTGAATTTGAGCAGTATAAATCACATTCATTCCCAGCATCTTGTCGAGACGGTCGTGCTGCTCCTGATCTGATTTTCAGTCTCCAGGGCTGTCCATCCTGGTGTGCTTAATTACCACTGACAAGGCTCCCTCCCTTTTCCATTCCCTGTCTAAATTCAAGTTTATCTCGGCCAAGGCCTAGAATCCAGTTTTTGGTTAGGGAAGTCAATGAAAAATGAGGACGTGCATCTGTCCGACCAACCATCTCCTGTCTTAGTTGAGGAGGCAGCAGGGGTGGCCCTGACTCTTTTACTAAGGGCTATGAAGAGCATTGTGTGATGGTTCCCTCTGTTTCCTCTAAAGAATCCTTTCCTTCTATACAGTTTTACAGATCTCTGCACACGTCTTTTTGTTACCTGGCATGTTTAAATCTTCTCTTTTTATCTAGGCAAGTCCTTTGCTACTAGTTTCTAATGTTTGTTACTAAAAACTTGCACAATCTTTTGATGCACTGATAAATAAGCAGCAGCTATGGATGGAGTTTGTTCTGAAATGTTCTGAAATCCCTTTGCACTTATAACCCTTATTGAATAAGAGAATGTTTTGTATGTTGGTTTGTCCTGTCAGATTCCCTTCCTGCTAGCAGCACTTGGTATGTTACATCTGTAGAAAATGGGCTCTGGAAGTAGCAGCCCATCTTGGACGGACGGGTGTCATCTTCCCAAGCAGTGTGAGGCAGTTTATCAGACACACTTCTCCCATCTCCTCAGGAGCTTGTTGCTTTCTTGCTGTTTGTGGGTTTGAGCAAACCCTGCCGTGTGTTTCCGTACACTGTCTTGTCTTGTTCCAAGAGACCTGGAGTCCGAAAAGGAAAGAAAGGATAAACCCTAAAATGCCAATCAGCTCCACTAATAGGAGATGTTTAGACTGGTCAGATGCGGGTAAAATGATTCTGCCCAGCTCCTTAGGAGCTGAAGAGTCTTTGTGGTAGGGTTTTGGGAGGTGCTGCTCTTGGAGAGAAGGGATAGTTTCTGTTGTGGTCAGTTAGGGAAGATGGAGACTCCTGGTACGGGTCACAGACACATAAACCTGAACTCTCTATGAAGTTCATCTGACATTTGCGTTCAGGGGAAGCAAACCCAGCAGGTGTTGAGCTGCCACAGCTGTAGTTTTGGTGGGTGGGAGGGAAACACTGATTGTCAGCCTCCACAGTGTGTGTGTAGGTATCAGCTTGCTTTTATTTGTGCAGTTCCCCATGATCTGTTTTTGGTGGTTTGTTTTTCTGTTGTGTTTTGTTTTTTTTTTCATTTTGACCTTTATTTTTGTTTCTTGAAAAGCAGTTTCCCAGACCAAAACCTTCGTTAAGATACGTGTGAGTGTGCATGGGTGGGTCTTTGTCTGTGCACCCCATTGGCTGTACTGTGTTCCTGAGTGGGTTTGGATGCCTGTGTATGGGCTGTAGATCCATGGGTGAGTGTACAGGCACAAATCCATGTGTGGGGGAAAGAGAGCGTGTATGTAAGCATACGTATTTCATATGTATTTGTGTTGGGAAGGGTTGCGGATGGAGACACGTGCGTTGTTGTGTGTGTAACTGAGAAATAAGAACATGTTTTCTGAGCTGATGTGACCGTCTTCCTGTGCGAGTTTGACCTCCTTACAGATGGGTGTTTGTACCTGAGAGTTTTCTGAATGCAGGCAGGCTCATCTGCGTGCCTGTGGGTGAATGAACACTTGCACGTGAAGCTCAGCATATTTTCGTTAGCATGGCTGTGCGTTCAGAAGCAGTGAGAAGGCCTTGTGAGGTGGCCCACAGTGCTTGTGAGGTAGGCTCCCAGGTTGCCTCAGCATTTCTGAGTTTAGCAAGTTTTCACTTAAAACACCTTCATGGTCTGGAGATATGTCAAGTGATAAGTCAGACTGCATCATGTTGGGCACACTTGCTCACTGCCACTTAGGAACCCCAGCCAGCGCCCCAGACACATGGAGAGGCATCTCGTACAGCTGAGTAAATGCCAAGGGCACAGAGCAGCTTAAAATCTGGTGGGTTTAAAAACTTCAAAGGGGCACAATTTCTGCCAAATTCACTTTTGAATTGCCTGACTCTGAAGCCGCATTTTCAGAGCTTTGCTCTCAGTGACTGTTGAACAATTAACTTCTTAGCCACAAAATAAGAATTTTTTTTTTTTTCAAAATGTTCTGGAAATATTCAACATTTCTATTTTGGGGCACTCTTAAGCCATTTCTTAAGTGAGTAAAGAGGGAGAGGAGGCGACTTTTTAATCTTTTTCTAAAAAAAAGAACTTCCAAGGCAGAGACCACATCTGCCATGTGTCAACTCTCTTTAAAACCAAGAATTTATTTTGGGGAGTAAGATGAAAGATGATGTAATATATGGGGCCTGGGATGTAGGGCCTGTGGGTTGTATTCCTTGGACTTTGATTACATCCCTGTACCTCAGTCTTCCCATCAGTGAATTGCAGATTGTTATTGCTGCTTATGTTAAGAAAGTATAGTCATTAGAGTTTAAAAAACACTTTAAGCTCCTTTGAAGAAAACGTTAAGGTGGTCAAAATTATAGCTATCTATTATAATAGGAAATAAATGCTATAGGAGTTGAATAAAAGCCAGCAAATTTGGAATATATCATCCCAGAAGCAGCCCTGGGCACTGGCTTGCATTTCCTTGCTTTCCACATCAGCAGGCACAGCCTGGAGATGAGCACTGTAAAGCTGACTGACAGCCTGCTGTCCCCTCCTCCAGGCAAAGAAAGGGGCTCATTACTGTTTGTTGTTCTGTATCAAAGGAGAAAAGCAAGTTTGATTTGTACTCTGTGCTACAGGGCCC